GTCCCCGGTTTTGAGTGGTCGGGTTTTTATCTACGGGATTTTCTTAAAAGCGGAAACTGGCTGTAGCCACAGGAGACTCACTCTGTGATTCAGTCAACAGCCGGTCAGCAAACAGCCGCCTTGAATCGGGTGCCGGACTAACGGTGTACAGAGTAACGACCCTGCCCTCAGGGGGCTCACGTGGGGGTGGGGGGCAAGGGAAACAGATGGGCAGAGAGAGTAGAGCCCCGAGAGTGCGTGGCCCCAGGTTTACTCTGTGCGTCTCATGGGAAGCGAAGGCTTTGTGGACACCCACGCGCCACACGGGGTGCCAGAGGAACACGGTGCTGCTCTTTGCGCCCCTCCTCTCGGCTGCTGCCCGGTCCGCCCTTCAGGAGGGACCCTCCGTCCTCCGAGTTTCCACGGCTCTTTCTGGCCCAGCGAGGGTCCTCGGGGTTCATGTTTGCCCCGTCTCTCCTACCGGGCGGCAAGCTCTCCAGGGTCGGGGGTCGGGGCCGGACTTGAAGTGCACAAGCCCCACAGCAAGCAGAGCAGCGCCTATGTGGGGGGACGTGTGCCGGTGCCCCAGGGCGGCGAGGGGACCCTGGGTCCCTCCCGGGCCTGAGGTGGGCTGGCAGGCTGAGTGAGGGGCTGCTGAGCCACCCTCTGGCAGTGTGGGGGGCCTGAGCCCTCTGCCAGCGCCCAGCTGCTCCTTGCTGGTCCCCCTCTGTGCGTATGGCAACAACACGCCCATCAGTGCCTGCTCTCGCCCTTGCCCCAGCGGTCCGTGCGGCTGCCACCACTGTCTTCCAGAAACACACACCTTCCTGTGTCGCTCCCCGCTTAGCCCCGAGCCGTCCCACTGCTCACCCAGCACGCTTCAGGGTGAGACGTAAACCACTCTATGGGACCCACGGGGCCTGGAGTTTCCAGTTGCCAGGACTCTGCGTGCGCTCTTCCTCCCGGGGCTTGTCCCGCTTGCTCCTCGAGCTCCTCCTCACCCTTGGCTGCAGCTGACGCCGCTCCCCGGGGTGCCTTCCCTGACCCCAGCGGAGGGGGCCCCCCGGGTGCAATCTTCTGGTGTCCTGGACGTCGCAGCCCTCACAGCCCTCACAGCGGGGCTGTGTCTAGCTGCGTCTGTCTGCCCGCCCATTCGCAGCACGTGCCTGCAGTGTCCTGGCGGACCATCGGTGAGGGACCGGTCCCCACAGTGAGCTAGCTTCTGCGCTGGCGAATGGGAAGAAGGGGGGTGTGGGGACCGCCCAGGCCCCTCCCAGGATCAGCCAAACACCCGCCGCAGCAGGCTTGGGCTCCTGGCCTCGCGGTCCTTCCTCTTCAGTGAAGGTCAGACCCCCGTCCCCTGGGGTCAGAAGCCGCCGCGCCAGGCGGCCTGTAGAGTAGAGGAGCACTGGGAGCCGGGCCTCTGTGTCTCTTGCTCTGATGTGACCATAGCTTTGTGAAATGACTTCAGTGCAAGAGAGGGGGGCGCTGCCCTCCAAAGGGTAGCAGCAGGTTGGGGGGGACTGGACGTCCCTCTGCGCCAGGCCGGACCGTGCGGCCAGTGAAGCGTGCTGTGAGACTCGGGCCCTCGACCTGGCTGACGCGCTCGTGTTTACCCAGGAAGCACCGCTGCTGAGTGTGTGTCTGAGCGGAGCCGGGGTTGGCGACAGCATGACGAGTGAGGTGATAGAAGACGAGAAGCAGTTCTACTCGAAGGCCGAGATGTACTGGAAGGAGGTCCCGCCGACGGTGGACGGCATGCTCGGGGGCTATGGCCACATCTCCAGCATAGACATCGGCAGCTCCCAGAAGTTCCTGCAGCGGTTTCTGAGGGTAGGCGGGCCTGGGTGCCCTCCGGGAGGGCAGGGCGTGGCCGGCACCCGTCTTCCCCGTTCCACGAGGGGTCCGAGGCTGTGCGTCACTGTCTGCCACCTATGCCTCGGACAAAGGGCAGGGGGCAGCAGGCGGACTGTGGACGGGCCCTCAAGGTCACCAGGCGTGAGCTGGTTGTGATTTGGGGGGGCTCCCTGGCGCCAGAATGGGGTAGTCCTCCTCTGAGTTTCCAGTTTTTCCGGGGATGGAACCTTTGTTCTCTGGCCGCCATGTGCGTGGGCATTTGGGCCCTGGCCGTTGGCTGTTCTGCTGAAGGTAGGCTCCGCCCACCGCCTTCCCCTGTGGCTGGAGCCTCCTGGTCCTGTCCCTTCCTGTCTGTCCCTCAGCAGGCGCTGGAGGCTGCTGCCCGCCCCCCACCAGTCTACCCCATGTCTCTCCTCCGCCCACTTTCCATCGCCCCAAGTTTGTTAAAACTGCGCATGTGCTTACCCATCGCCCTCTCCTGTTCCCTCCCTGATCAAATTCTTTCTATTCTATTCTCTGTGCTGTCATTTTAAGGGGGTGTCAGGAGAGGACACGAATGCCCCTCTTCAAGTCAGCACCTCTAAGTGGAAGTTGGCTTTCATTTTAGAAATCTGTGACCCAGAAAAATCACGTCACGTTCCCACCCACTGACGCCCCCACTGGTGCCGGCTGCCAGCCTGTGCCCCGTTTAGATGTGATTACTCCCAGGCCCCCCCCCACCCCCCGGCATGATGGGGACCCTCCGGCCCTCTCACCCTTCCCACCCTGAGCGCGTCTCCGCCTCCCTTCCCGCGTTTCAGGAAGGCCCGAACAAGACGGGGACCTCCTGCGCCCTGGACTGCGGCGCGGGCATCGGGAGGATCACGAAGCGGCTGCTCCTGCCCCTCTTCCGCGTGGTGGACATGGTGGACGTGACGGAGGACTTCCTGGTCAAAGCGAAGACCTACCTGGGCGAGGAGGGCAAGCGGGTGAGGAACTACTTCTGCTGCGGGCTGCAGGACTTCAGCCCCGAGCCCGAGTCCTACGACGTCATCTGGATCCAGTGGGTGATAGGTGAGCGTCCCGCTGCTGCCGCCGCCCCCTCGGCCCCGCGCGTCTCCCACCGCGGAGACTGGAGGCCCCCCCTGGGGTCCCGGGGCTGGTGCCCCCGCGGCGGGGGCTCCTCCCGTCCGCCCTGCGCTCCCAGGACCGCGGGGCTCGCCACCGGGAAAGTGCCTCTCCTTCCATGTTGGTTTAACTCAGTACCTGCTGCAGCCCACGGTGCGGGGGTGGGGGGGTTGTTGAAAAATGTACGTGACCATTAACCACCTCACAAAGAGCACGGACAGGAGATTTTGTGAAACGGGGCTTCTACTAAGAGGAAGCGCTGAGGCTCGGGCGGTCCCTGCTGTTGGCAGGGAGGAGCCCGGCTCTGCCGTCCTGTGCTGCACCCACTCAGGCTGACAGCGGCGCACCCAGGGTGCTCTTCCGGGCTGCCGACCCAGCAGCAGAGCAGGCCGCCGTCCCGGTGACCAGCCACCCGCCCCAAGGCCGGGAGCACTGCCCTGCTGGGACATGCTGGGCCTGGCCCCCACTCAGTGGCGTTTCAGTGTAGGGAGGGAAAGAAGTCTGGCCCACTTGGCCAGTCCAGGCCTAGGAGGGGTGGGTGTGTGTGGTGGTAGGTGTCCCCCGTCAGGGTGAAATCCCGGCAGCCTGCTTCGTGATCGCCCCTGGGAAGGTGACTTCCGGGCCACATCCGTCCTCCACCACTGGGGGTCAGCCAGCCCCCCCGGGCTGTCGAGAGTGCCCGCGAGGCCCCGGTGTGGAGCACCAGTGCGTGCTCAGCTAGGTCAGGATGGGGTGGCTGAAGGGAGCGCCCAGCGGGGTGTGCGCGCCTGCGCCCCCCTCAGCACCCCTGCCCCCGCCCCATAGGCCACCTGACCGACCAGCACCTGGCCGAGTTCCTGCGGCGCTGCAAGCGGGGCCTGCGCCCCAACGGCATCATCGTCATCAAGGACAACATGGCCCAGGAGGGCGTGATCCTGGACGACGTGGACAGCAGCGTGTGCCGGGACCTCCAGGTGGTGCACGGGATCGTCCGCAGCGCGGGCCTCAGCCTCCTGGCCCAGGAGCGGCAGGAGAACCTGCCCGACGAGATCTACCACGTGTACAGCCTGGCCCTGAGATGACGGGCGGGCGGGCGCAGGAGCGAGAGGACCCGTGCGGGGCGGGGGGCTGGCGGCCAGGGGCCACCCGGAGGCCCCATCCACACTGGTGGTTCGCAGTGTTGGGTGAGGCCCGGATACACCTGCCTGCTTGCCGCCCACTCACCACACAGCCTCTTCTACCGGACACTGGGACCCACCGGGGAGTGCGGCTGGACGGGCAGTGGGGCAGGAACCCGGCCCTGCTGCCCCGGGCGGGGACTGGGCAGAGCCGGCCTGTGGGAACACGGCAGCAGGCCCCTGGGTCCCCGCCGCCGCCGTCACCAGGCCTTCGGGGCACGGGCCTGGCTGCCTTCAGAGGCAAGAACCCTCTTACCTCAGTGGAGGACACGACCTAGCGGGGAGGGGCGGGCCGGGCCGCTGGAGCAGCCAGCACTGCGCTACCTGCAGCTGGTGGGAGGGTGACGGCCCACGCCCTTTGGTGCCAGGGCCCTTTGGTGCCAGGGCCCGGAGGTGGCGAACAGCAGCCTGCGGTGAGGAAAGAGGTCTGCAACCTCGTTTTGCCATGCCCTGTGGCTCCTCCTTGGCTCGCGTTTCATTTCAAAATAAAAGAGGGTGACTCTGTGCTGGTCTGTGGGGCTCAGTTGGAGTGTCCTACTGTAACCGAAAGGTTGCTGGTTCAATCCCCAGTCAGGGCACATGCCCAATCCTGGGTCGGGGCGCGCGCAGGAGGCAGCCTATTGGTGAGTCTCTCGCATGGATGTTCCTCTCCCTCGCCCCCCACCCCCACCTTGAATGAGAAAAAAATAAACCTTTAAAAACAGAGAAGGGTGAGCCCCCGTGCCGTGAAGGCCCCGCCAGACTGGAGTGGCACTTCCCTTCACAGACGCGTGCTGGCTACTCGACCCTAATGCAGTGTCTGCTTGCACCAAGCACCCCCTTCCTGGCCGTTGTCCGGCCCCTCCCCCAAACTGGGCGGCAGGGATGTCACCGAGGACCTTGAAGGCCAAGAGAACCCAGTTTGATTTGGTAATATAAATATGTTATTTAGTTGCCTCAGCTCACTTCCAAGGCGTTTGCACAATTCGTAACCACCAGGACCGAGAGAGCTTCATGGGGACTCCGCACTGGGCGGCACGGCTGGCTTTCCATCCTGGTCGCTTTCTCCGCCAGACGGGACAGTCTGGAAAGGGCTGTCCCTGGTCACACATGATTGCTTCTGGAGCAGAAGGCGTGGTCCCCAAGACCCTGGGTTTGGCACGGAGTGCAGCCCCAAGCCTGGGTGGGCGGGGCCCCAGGTGTCCAGGCCCCAGAGCTGCAGGCCACTCGGCTCTCCCCAGCCCACCGATGCACTTCTGTGCAGGGCAGGACCTCTGCTGGGTGGCCCCCCAGCTTCCTTCAGGCTTCAGCTCTGTCCCCATGTAGCTCTCAGCCGAGGACCTGGGCTCAGGGCTCCCCCGCTTCTGGGAATGTCCAGCAGTCCCTTCAAACGCGGCCCAGACCCGCACCCAGTTATTTCGGCCAATGCGACCTGAGAACCTGGGTGGGGGCTGCCCAGGGAAGGGGTCAGTCCCCCTGACAGACGTGCAGCCTTTCCCCACCGGGGTGCCCGCAGCGGCCGGGCTCTGCCTGGCGCTCTCTGCACCGAGGGTCAAGTCTCCTTTCCAGCCTGCACCTCCTGGCCAGGCAGGACCGCAGGTTCCCTCTGAGGCCGCCACAGGTACTGGGGTCCACCGGCGGGCTGACGGAGGGCCCGGGCCCTGTCCCCTGCAGCCCGGGCGTGGTCACATGTCCTCTTCGGCCGGGCTGCTGTGCTCGCTGAGGAGGTACCACTTGAGCCTGTCAGGCAGCGGGAGGGCTCTGACCTTCGCGTCCACGGGCCACGGCTGGAGGTAGAGCCGGATGTACACGCGGCACAGGTGCTTGAGGGGCGGGGGGTAGCTGTCCAGCTGCCTCAGGGAGAAGTGAAGGGCCTGGATCTTCTCCGCCAGGCTGCCCACAGGATGGATGTCGAAGTTCTCGGGCAGCTGGAGCTTTTGGGAATTGGTCACCATGAGGTCCAGGACGGTCTCGGCCTTGCGCAGGAGGTCCGCGTGGCTCTCGTCCTCGGCGCAGCCGGGGTGGGAGCAGAGCCGGTCGAAGACGACGTGGAAGCCGGACCAGCAGGACGCGCCATGCAGGGAGCAGTTGTAGGCGGCCCCGGACTCCAGCAGGAAGCGCAGCAGCGGCAGGTGCGCCTTGAAGCTCTTGAGGCAGATGTGGGTGAGGGACTCGTGGGCCGGGCACTCGCTGGGGTCGGCCCCGTGGGCCAGCAGCAGCTGCGTGACTTGGAAGCAGAAGCGGTTGATCATCTGGGCCTCCTCTTTGTCCCCGCCCACCGTCTCACCGAGCAGGAAGATGATGCAGGTGAACACGGTGTCCCCGTCTTTGGTGGTCGCCTTGATGTCGGCCCCTGGAGGAGCGGACAGGAGAACAGAAGCTCGGAGAAGCCCACACGCCCTTAATGTACCGCTCGGTGTTTGGGTGCAGGGAGAGCCTGCAGGCCCTGGGGTGAGGGCCCGGTGACAGCACGGGGCTTGGGGACAGCCAGGGACAGCCGGAGACCGGCCTCACCTCCTTCCAGCAGCAGGCGGATGTTCTCGGTGTTGTGGATCTGCACCCCGTCGCTGCTGGCCAGTGCGTGGAGCAGAGCAGTCTTTCCTGGGGAGGGAGCAGCAGTGAGCGTGGGAGGCTGGGGAGGCTGGGGCGGGGCAAGCCCACGGGTGGAGGGAGATCGGCAAATGACCTTTGGAAAGGACTGCCCTCTCCGCTCGGGCTGAGGGCCACCGCTCTCTGGCCGTCCTCTTTCCACCCGCACACATCAGAGCGTGAGGGCCAGGAGAGGCAGAGATTTTCTGGACCCTGAGAAGCTGCCTGAGACATAGTTCCCTCAGAAGCCAAGCGCCCCACCCCCCACCCCGCTACAGAAGCCTTCCCGGGGCTGGCGTGGGGCCAACGGCTGCATTCTCTCCAGAGCCTCTGTGAGCCAGCAAGGTGCACCTGAGCGCACACCCCGGGCCGTGCTGTGCCTGCCCACCTGTCGTCCTGGGGTACCCCTGCTCCCCTCACAAGGTGCCCAGGCCCAGGGCTGTTCTGCCTTCCCACGGGAGGTGCCCACCATGCTTGTCGGCTGCGTTGACGTCTGCCCCAAGTTCCAGGAGGCGCTGCAGGCAGGGCAGGCGCTCCGGCTCCTCACTGGCCAGGTCCAGGGGGCTGCTCTCATGGATCTGGGCCAAGAAAGCACAGCCAGGTCGTCCTGCAGGCTGCTCGCAGCTCCCTCCCGCACCCCCCACTTCACAGCGGGCTGGGCCCGGCTCTCACCCGGTCCCTCCGGTTGATGTCGGCCCCGTGGCGCACCAGCAGCTCCACCATGTCGGGCTGGTTGCGCAGGACAGCGATGTGCAGCGCCGTGTAGTAGGTGACCGGGTCTAAGGCACAGACACAGCCCGGTCAGGCCTGCCTATCGGCGGCACGTTCCTGCGGGACCCCAGGCCCTGGCCCGGCAGCCTGGGCCCAGCACCGCCAGCACAGGAGGCCGGGCTCTGTCACAACACAGTTGTCCTCATCGGATACTACAGCTCAGGCTCTGGGGTCAGACCTAGTCTCTGGTCCTGGGGGCGTTCTAGGGGACACTGTCCTCGGTCTGTCTGGGCTCCAGTTCCCTCTGGGGCCACACAACCTGGCACCTCCTCCCGGCTCTCGGGAGGGTGCCCAGACTGGCAGCTTCTCGAAGCTGGCCCTCAGCCCCTTGACCCTCCCGCAGCCCGCAGCCTCTGAGCCTGTCCTCAAATGGGAGAGGAGGCGTGCCCGGCCACATCGCGGGCCAGCACACAGCCCCCCGTTTGGTTGTGAGCTGGCCTCGCAGCCTCCTCACTGACCCTGCCTTCCCTGGGGGAGCCAGAGAGGGAAGTGCCGCCCCGCCCCGCCCTGCCCCGCCGCCCGCACCTACAGCCAGATGCCAACACAGTCCCCCTGTGACGTATGCCAGGTGTGACCTCCTCCCCACCTCCTGCGGCAGGAACAAAAATGCAAGATGGCTCAGAATAAGAGGCAGGAAATTACCTTCCCTGAGCTCTGGGCACAGTGCCAGCAGCTGCATTTTCACACTAATGGAAGCAGGGAATTAGCTGGGAGCTGGGAAGATCTGCTAAGTCAATGCCATGGTAGAAGCAGCAACAAACTTGCTCTGGGACCAGAGGTGGAGAGGGCCATTTAAAGCCCGGCGGGTGGGGGGATGGGAGGTCGCCCAGTGTGGGTTTCCCTAGTCCACAGCTGTGAGACAAACGAGGGAAGTAGCTTCTAAGAGAACAGTCAGCAGAGCCCAAAGGGCTGGCTGCCCAGCGGGAGCAGGGCTCCACGGAAGCCGCCCACCCACTCCAGCCCCATGCGGTTCCCCCTGACCTTCAAAGTTGAGGTTGGCCCCGTGCCGCAGGAGGACATCGGCCGCCTGGGTCAGCCCCAGCTCGGCCATCTTCAGCAGGGCATTGCTCACGCCTTCCTGGTAGAAGGGAGAGTGGGCCTTTCTCTCCAGAAGCTCAGTGAGAACAAGCAGTCGGCCCTCCTCGCTGGCGACGTAACTGGGCCTGGCGCAGGAGAGAGGCGGACCAGCTGAGTGTGGGAACAGCTGCGGGCCCAGCTGGCCCGGGCACCCTGTGGGTGGGTGGCCTTTAGTCTCCTTTTGTCACCTCCCCAGCCCTGGCGAGTGCCCAGTGCCCCACGGGCGCAAAACAGACATTCTGGGACTATGGAAATATAAGCCCTGCAGCTCGCTGTGCTGCCCTACCCCCACCCACCCCAGACAGCCTCGCAGTTAAGGAAACACTTTGTACTGCACTTTCAGGACAAGCCTCAAAGTGAAGAGAACAGCGCTGACGGAAGCCTGCGTTTCCACCAAAGTCCCCGGACAGAACCATAACCGCCACTGTGTTTGAAATTCCGACGGGTCCCTGCAAACCCGCACCTGAGCCCCCTTTCCTCCGAAATCCTAGGTACTTTCCATGACCGTCGGCCTCTCCCCTCTGTCGCATGAGCATCAGGAAGGCGAGGGGTCTTGCTTAGCTCCCCGACATAACCCTGAATGACGCACTTTCTGACACCTTCTCCTCGCGTTCACCGAGAGGCCTATTACTGTCTATACAAAATGCTAACTCAGGTGCAGAAAGTTCATTTTGGCACTGCGGATACAAATTGAGGTCTTCATAAATGCCACCCTGCTCCTTTGCAACTCTGGGTGTAGTTGCAACAGGGTGGGCACTGAGGCAGAGGCCCCGCCCGCTCTCCAGCCCTCGGTGCACTGGGGCCCTGCACCGCCTGCCCGGGGCGCGGCTAGCACTCGAAGTCGCGTGACTCGGGCCCCGCCCTATCTCGTATCTGTACGGTGGGGACTCAGATACCCCGCTCCCCACCCGGCTTGTAGTGAGAATTAAAAGGAAGCAGAGCCAGGTCGGAGCGGCCCCGACCGGCAGGAAGAGAGCGAGTTACCCGTCCAGGGGCTCCTGCCGCTCCGGGTCCTGGATCCCCAGGGAGCTCAGAATCGCATCCACCAGCGGCTGGTACTCGAAGATGATCCTCCGGAAGCCGTGCAGGAACGGCATCGCGGCGGCCCCGGGCGCGGCAGGGCGGCCACACCTTCTGCCGAGGCTGGGACACCGACTGGGCGGGACGAACGGCCGCGGGACTGGCGGGGCCTGTTCTGGTTAAGCTCCTCTCCTGCCGGGTCCGCCGCCGCACCCGCAGCTCCTTGCCGGAAGTAACTTTCGCGGTGACTTCCGGCTCGCTTCGACCCCGGAAATGAGCGTGGGCAACAGCGGCCCCTGCTGGCTCGGAGGACCGCGGCGCGTCCCGGCGCGCGAGCCGGAGGTGTCTGGCGGACCGACCCGGGAGTGAAGCGCGCGAACTCCCTGCCAAGCCGGATCCCAGCCCGAGGCGCTCTCGCCTCTTCCTGGCCCGGCCCTGCTCCGCCCTGCGATCCCGTCCGCGGCCGCTGGGCGACGTCCGAGCTCCGCCCATTGCACGGCCCGGCCAGTGCCCTGACTGCAGCCCTGGCCTAGGACCAGGCATCTTCCTTTTCGGCATCTTCCTTTGGGCCACGTGTTTGAACCTCCCCAACCTCAAGCTCCGTTATGGAACCATGACCTCTTCATGATTTTGGGAAGTCCGTTATGAAGAGGTGTGTGATCCCGGCCTTGGCCTCCCACCGCCCTCGCCATGCGGGCTTGGGAGTCTCTCCCACCCGGCACGTGCCAGAGGCGAGAGTTGTTGAGGGGAGGAAATCAGGTTACAGTCACATTTAAAGACATTAGACATTAAAATGGGCACCATAAGCCTCCTCCAACAAGAGCAAAACCATTGACAAGAACACCCCATCGAAAGCTTGCCCAGGTCCTGCTCTGGGGTCCGAGTGGGGTCAAGTATACAGCAGGGGATGGATAATTACACACCGTTGGTATTGTTAGGTTTACAAGGTTGTTTTGCAGATCAGATGACAAGCTAATTAAAACCCCCATCGGCCACTCAACACGCCTCATTTTGCCTCCCCTTCCACTGCCTAGAAGAGCAAGAAGGAGGCGTGGGGTGGGCAGCCGGTATAGGCCTCGTTAGGGCCGGCCAGCGTGAGACCTCAGGTTCCCAGCACACTTCTGCCTTGGTTCCTGCTCCAGAAAAGAAGGCTCTTCCCTGTGGCTGAAATTGGGAAATTTTGCCAACACAGAAATGGAGATTTCCAGCTTGTGTTGTAAAGTCAGAGGACCCGCCACCTGGGCCCAAACTCCTACCTGGCAACGGTGAGCATCCGGATGCAGCACTCGCTCCGACGTGCCTCAGCCTCGTGGGTGTTGCCCTGGGCGGTTGGGAGTGTCCGTCTCTGTTTTCAGGGTCCGCACCCTGCCGTCTGTCCCCCTCCCCATTGGTCCCGAGGTTCTGAACAGCACAGCAGCCCACAGGTGACCCCGGGGCTGCACGGACCTTCTCTCACCTGATCCAGGGTCAGTGCCCCACAGCACAGGTGAGGACACGGAAGGGTCCGGGGGAGGTCCCCTGAGACCAGGTCCAGGGCAGAGCTGGGGGGACGGTCTGGTCCGACTGCCCCCCACTTCTTCCCTGGCTCTGTTAGTTTCCTAAGGTCATCGGAACAAGTGCCACAAACTAGGTGGCTCAAAACACCAGGAACCTGTCCTCTCTCAGTTCTGGGGACCGGGAGTCTGAAACCAAGGTCCCAACAGGGCCACGCTGCCCCTGGAGAGTCTGGGGAAGGTTCCTTCCTGAACTGTCCCCACCCTGGGCAGCCCCCAGCACCCCCGAGACCCGGCAGCGTCCTCTCCATCTCCGCCTCCCTCTCTGCGCACACATGGCCTTCTTCCCCGTGTCTGCGTCTCTGCCCAAACCTCACGCTCCTTCCAAATGACACCAGTCATGGGACATAGGGCCCACCTGAATCCAGCGTGACCTCTTCCTAAATTGCTTACGCTTGCAAAGCCCCTTCACATCTCTTTGGAGGACAGGACTGACCAGAGCCGTCAGGAGCAGCGCCTGGCACGCCCCCTGTGGTCCCTGGGCCTCGGTTTCCTCACCTCGAAGCCGGAGGCCTCCCACACTGACCGTCTTGGAGCCAGCAAAGAGCTGGACACAGAGCTCCACCAGGAGGAAAACTAGAGTGGTCTCGCGACCAGCGTGGTGACCAAAGGAGTTCGCTTTCACTCACCGAGCCCTCTCAAGGTGCCAGGCGCCGCGCCGATGCCCGACGTGCTCATCTCAAGAGACCCTGTGAAGTAGGTGATGGTTTCAGGCCGTTTTACAGACAAGGAAACTGAGGCTCGGCGAGGTTTGGATGCTTGTCCAACCTCTAGGGGCAGAGCGTCCTGTGGTGCCTCTGGCTCTGGGCCCAAGAGGGTGCAGACTTGCAGCAGGGAGGAGCTGACCCCTGCTCTGCTGCAGCCCTTGGGCACCACGCTTTGGAGACAGGCCCTGCCGCCGGCCAGTCGCCCAGGCTCCTATCTCGAGCAAGCGCCGTGCCCCCTGACCTCCCTCCTGTCAGCAAGGGTAACCCGGTTTCCTCCATCTGCCTCCCATTAACCCTCTGCCACTCAGAGCCTCTGATTTCAGCTCTGAGCCTCCTCTGCTTCTTCCTCTGCTACTGGCCCTCGCTGCCCTGCCAGCCCAGCCACTTCCCGTCAGCCGACTCCAGGGTTCCTGGGCAGGCTGGGGTCCTGGGGCTGACCGCCCCGCGCTCGGATCCTGGCAGGGCCTCTCCCCCTTTCCTGCACCCCAGGCAGCTTGGGAGTCACTCTGACTCTCCAATGTACAGAGCGGGGTAACCTTAATATGTAAAGAACTGTTAAAAACCAACAAGGAGAAGGCAAAAACACCAGGAGAAAAATAGGCAAAGGACACGCATAGGCGAGCCACAAAGGATGAACAACTGTCAACGAACACCAGGTGAGAAGTTTAGCCTTTCTAGCTGTCCTACCCCGGCTGTGACAACAGCTGACACAGAGGACGCGTCACCTGCTAGGCTCGGCCCTAGAGCAGCTCAGCCAAGCAAGTCACAGGACAGCAGGCACCACACAATCCCGTTTAGGAAAAGGTGCGGGGCGACGGTGCGTGTGTGCACAGGTGTGTGTGTGGCTGGGCTTCGTCCGTGTCAGCCCCCTGCTGAGCCGGCACCAGGGCTGTTTCTGGGGGCTGGGGCCCGGGGAACTTTGATCTTCCCTGCCCTTCTATGTATTTTCCACCTTTTCACCAATGACTATCTTTTTCCATGAGACTCAAAATGCTAAATCAGCCAGAAGCAGGGAATGAGGCCCTGCACACTCCTCACGGGCACACTCTCTCGCACACAGACACACACACGCTCACACCTACACACTGTCACACATGCGGCCAGGGTGGTGGCCCCGGGAGGGTGGTCCCAGGGGAATGGGGGCTCAGGGGCGCAGGACTGGGCGTGGCTCTGAGCTGTGGCCACAAACCCTGAGCCCTGCGGCCTCCTCCAGACTGCCTCTCCTCGGACCCAGCTCCCTCTCCTTCCCTCTCCCCTCCCCCCACCCTGACCCCACCCTGACCTACCCTTGTGACCCCAGTGCGTCACTGACCAGGCGACCCAGCCCGCCTGGACCTGTTTGGCCTCGGTTCCCACACTGAAGGGCAGGACCCTGATCCCTCGCTGCCGGGGGCTCCCCGGGGACCCCAGGGGCCAGCAGGCTGGGGGCAGGAGCGGCAGGTGGTAGGACATCGGCTGGGCCAGGGACAGACTTTCTTGTCTCCTCCCTCATCCCGTTCGCGCTCCTGTGAAGCTCTCAGCACCATCTGGGGGGGCCCCACGCTTGGGGAACAAGTCCTGGGCCCTCTGTGCCTCCACAGCCTGCCCTGCTCCTCCCTCGAGTGCTCCCTCCAGAGAAACTGCCCCGGCTGGCCAGGGCCCCTTGCCCCAAGGGCCGCCTCCCCCCAACACCGCCCCCTACTCCACGCCCAGGCCCTGCCAGCTGGTCCCCGTGCTTGACCATGGCCTGGGGCCTTAAGAGCCAGCTACGAGCTGGGCTGGACCCTGGCAAAAGCCCCAGGTGGGCCGCCTGGATGGCTCACTGAGGGACCTCTCTTTCTCCACCATCCCTTTGTGCCCACATCAGGGGGCCTGCCTGACCCCCAGCCTCTCCCGGGGAGGAGGGGACAGGTCCTCAGGGACCCCAGGAGAACAGGGTGAGAAGGTGCTCAGGCCACCACCACACACTGTCGTGGGCCGGGCGGTCTATACAGCAGGCATTTGTTCCCCACAGTTGTAGTGTCTGGGAAGGTCAAGGTCATGGTGCTGTAAGGCAGGTTTCCTTCTGAGGTCCCTTTTCTGGGTCTATAGGCAGCCGCCCACTGTCTGTGTGCTCCCATGACCGGCTCCTCACGCTCATGCGCAGAGAGGGCCAGCTCTGGAGACGTCTCCTCTTCTCATGAGGACACAGACCCCATCCTGGGGGCCCCACCCTCATGACCCCGGCTAACATAATCCTCACACAGGCCCCACCCCCTAATACCATCACGTCGGGGGTTAGGGCTTCCACACGTGAACTTGGGGCGGGGGACACACACACATTCAGTCCATACAGGGACCCTCTGACCCCGCACCCCATGATGGGAGGGAGGTGGGGTGGCTCAGCCTCCCTGCACTGTCTACGGGAGAAGATGGCGGTTTCAAGGCCCGCCCCCCGCCCCCCCAGATTCCTTCCTACTCTAGAAGCCAGAGGTCTGCTGAGAGGGATCCTTGGCTTCACGTGGGAGAACCACACCCGGAAACAGCACCCAGCCCCTCCCTTACAGACCCTCGCCCCCTCAGTGCCGGTCGCCGCCTCGGCCCGCGCACTCACACGGCCCTCTCCTGGCTAGCCGCCCTGTGTGATCTTGGCCCGTGCCTTGCCCTCTCTGAGCCTTGATCTATCCAGGCTGCCAAATGGGTGGGGGAGGGTGCCGGGGAGGTCTGAGTGTGCCTCGTCTTTGGCTGGTCCGTGAGCCCAGCGTTCTTCCCCCTGAAGCCCCTGCTGGCCCCTGCTGGCGTGGGTCCCTGGCAGGCCAGCCCCGAGGCAGAGCTCGGGGTTGGGGGGGTCCACTGGGCCGCCTCCAGCCGCTGCAGCCTGCCGCCCGCCTGGGCGGGCGAGGGAGGGCTCCAGAGAACGTACATCCCCTGGGGAGGGAGGGAGGGAGGGAGGGCAGGGTCCTTTGTGCTCCCCGGGAAGCCCCCCTGCCCCACCCCCACTGGCCCTG